AAAGGCATAACGACATACAAGTGTGAGTGATCATTATTTAAGTTTTTAATACTAACATGAGGCGTAATTTAATAGTCTTTTTCTGCGTCGTCACATCTTAATAGAGTGATTATCACATCTGAGGCGATAGCAAACTCTGTAAATCAGTAACTTTTCCATTTTTAATTTTTGCCTACAATAAGATATTTTTTATGGCATAAGCCGGTAAACGAGCAGACAGATCACCTGATGGTAAGCAATCGGCGTCGCCGATGGACACCTGGAACACCAGAAGCGTTACAAGTGCGTTACCAGTCTTTTGGGAATTAGGAGTTTGAGGATCGTTGGAGGTTCAGGGATTGGCGAGATTAGGGGAGGGGAGGGTAATTGGGCCTCCGGTAACCTCACTCACACGACGAAATGCAACAAGCGTTGCTTCACGTCGGTTTTCTGTGAGGCCGTGGTATCACTTTGGTCGAGCCGGCCCATTCGAGCCGAAGGATGGCTCTCCCACACTTAAAATTTATTCTATTTGGGTAATAAGGTACTGATGCTAATAAATTCTTTAGGTTTTGTAGTAAAACATAACTTTTAGAAACTGATTTGAGCTCTAAAAATCCCTATATTCAGTCGTGCATTTATCTGGCTTATATTACCTTCTGGAGCGCAATGCTATATAATAAACTCAAAAGCTATGTGCGGTGTCAAAAATATTTATAGCACTGGTTTCCGTCGACGCTTTTAGAAAATAATTCTGGCTCTGCACCCTACATTTTCGTTTCACAAAACCGATTTCAAGGAAAATATTTAGTGCTGAGTATTTGAATGCTAGTGGTTGGAACGAATTAAGGTATATAAAGTACTCTTTGGACTGGAGTACAGAGACAATATCTGTGAGGAAAAGGTAATTAAATAATATTAAAGCTTCAACTTAAGATAATAAAGTATAAAATCAATTTTTATAGTGTCTTAGTACAGGTGATAAAGATTAGAATTATACATTTTATTCAAAGTTTTTCCTTCTTTATATGTTCTGTGGATTTATAGTGTTATAGACTATAAAGATTTTTTTTAAAGAATGTAATAAAACCTTTTTGCTTGTCACATTTACATTTCCTTTCAACTAACAAAATCGATATACCTTTATATTCATAGCACTCTATTAATATTGCATGATACAACACGACCTCATTTATAATTTACTCCAGAGAGTTGCCAATTCTCTGTATAAAGTTTTTTTTTGTGAATAGGTATTGTGACTGTAATTGAGACAGAAAAAACAAGTTGTTTTTTGTTTAAATTATTTATTTTAGATGATTCTTCGAACAATTGTGTAAGCAAAGAGACTGATTTTGAGTGTGTCTCTAGAATTTTAGAGGGAAGGACTGATCCTTCCCTCTAAAATTGTACTAATTTATTACTGATAATAATCGTACCAATGTATTGAATAGCAAGAAAAGATAATTCTTGGGTTAAAGTCATTTTTCATTTGATACTGAACTGATAAAATACGTACGTTTTGAAGTGATGATAATGTAGTTTTAAAAGTCACATTGTCGTACATAATTTTGTAATTATATACAACACATGACATTGTTCTATAATTACATTTTACCGTAATTAGTTCTTTTATAGTCAGTTGTCGGCAATAAAAATGTTATCGAAGTAATTACTGAAAACATAACACGTTATGTATAGCTCCTACATATTAATTATTACGTGGCCTATCGACCATCGTTCTACCTAGAAAACTTTTTGGACAATATGTATAGGTAACTTGTGAATACGTGACAAATCTTTCGCATATACTATTCACATTAAAATAATATAATTATTACGTAAACACCGAGATTTCTTTTATACCTAAAATAAACTGGCAACTTATAATAAGACCAATGATGGAGCAGGTCTTTTTTTTAAGGGGGGAAAATGTGGGAGGGAGTGTCAGACTCTTACTGACTAAAAACCACCCCGTTCCGTCTCCTGCACGTTGAGCCGGAGCCCCGGTTACCCGTTAGGTTCTCCGTGGTCTATCAATGGGCAACCTATTTACTCAAGATGTGAAGAAAAAGTCCACTTCGTAGCGGGTTGTAAACTTCGCACAGGTTGTACAATATTGTTTTGATGACCCTGAGAATATCTGGTTCTTGTAACCGCGATATAACAGTACGAGACAGTCCAATTCCTTACGTAAATTTTAGCTTTAGCTATGTATAGAGTACATAGAAGTAAAGCTATGTATCACGTACCAAATTTAAAAAGAAAATTGTATCTAGACTAAATTCTAGTCTCCACGTGTACCTAGAGCTTAGGTTAGGTCTTCATGAATTTAAATATATTTTTCAGGGTTTATTTATTTAGGCTCAATATTATAGATTGCTATAGATATTCACAATGTTTATCAAACCATATTGCCCGTTTGATGTATTGCTTCGGTTTCAATTTCAGCTGATACGGTCTAATACACATTTAGCCATTGTTTTTCATATGCAATCTCTTTAGTGCGTATTTTTGTTTATTTGCATAATTATGGAGTTTAGATCTGTAGGCTACGCCACAACTTATATAAGTACTTGTATTGTTATAAACATAACATTAGTATAAAAGTTAATATATCGCAGAATCCCCAAAGTTCAACTAGGATTTACTTCCAACCTCTTTCAGTCGGTAGTTAAAATACGTACAATTCAATAAAAACCTAAAATAGACCCAGAATAAAGATTAAATTGCCTTATCTATCGGGCCATTCCCAATATCAATAAAGGATAGTCCTTTCAGGGGTCAAGTTCAGACCTTCGACATTTAGAGGGATTCAGAAAGCGCGTATATTTAACCCTTGCCTTAAATAATGTTGTAATTTTAAAGCCTCTGTTGTCACAGCTGTTTTAGTGACGTCACAAGATTTACTTTTAAAATAGGATCTTTATGAACCGTATTGTGACGTAAGAATGGAGAAGTGGCGTAATTTGAAGAGAACATTGTGGTTTCGTAGCGTGGAGTAACGTAGCTCGTAGCAGCGTAGCGCGTAGCAGTGTAACTCGTAGTAATGACAGGCGTAGTAACTTCGTTCATAAATTACAGAACTGCACTGTGATTTAAGGTCCCTAAATTATAATGATTAGACGCGAGATTAGACGTTTGGTTAGGTATTTAAAACAATGTTATTAAATAACAATTACGTCATAACTCGAGTTTGTAGTTTATAAAAATACAACCACTTCTTGCAAACAGTTGATACTCAGTGTCACATTAAGATAGTAACATTTACTTAAATGTACATACTTTCGTACGAGAACACTAAAACATGCAACTTAAATACATTTCATTATGTAAACACAAATTACAGGCGACCCGCGCTCGGTCTAGCCATTACACTACAATACAGCCTTGTGACTTAATATTCTATTTCATTTTATCATTTATAAAAGACTATTATGAGAATGTTAGAAATAATAGCACAGGATCGAGTTTTCGAAATAATGACCCGGTTCGTTAGACTTTTAGTTGTATGGATGATCGTTTAGTAATTCGGTAGTTTTACCATTTTTTTTTGGGGGAATGTTTTCTGTGAGTTTTGAAAATAGGCAATTTTGTAGATTTCCATTTTGCACCTTTGTACGTGCGCAGCTCGCGCAGCCATTTTGGAAAAAATAACTCTTTTCCTATGCACTTAACGAGAAAAATGTTAGGTACCAAATTAAACTACTCACAATTTTATACAATTTATGTCTCCACAGCTTAACTCCACAGCTTCCTTGACGCCACAGCACCGCAAATTACATTCTTATGAGCATTTTGAAAAAATAAAATAACCACACCGCCTAAAAGTAGAGCAAGCGGTGCGTTATTTTTATAATGTATTCCTTCATAAGTCTAATGCTCATGCGTTGTGATACAAACTTTAGGAATTTGCTATAATCTCCTGCCCTTAGCTGTTTCTTATGAAGCGCACATAGGAGATTTCATCTTGGGCACACATCGATATGTCATTGTCGTTATTTTTAAACGAAAATACTTGTAATTAATCTGCGAAAGTCCACCGCAAATAATTCGGAAGACATTTTGATTGGCGACATCTCGATCGATACCTATGGGTCATAAGAACATTAAATGAATGATGACTTGGTGCATCATCAGCTTGAATAATGAAAAAGTGAATGTGTTATTAATTGAATTGAATTCTAAAATTTTATCTTCGTATTTTGCTGTGCTCGACAGGGTGCATAATTGATTATGGAATGCAAATAAAGATATGAATATGAATATAATATAGTAATATGAAGATTCAATTGCACTTAACTAACCGATGGACTTGTGAATTTAGTAAATTCAGGTATAATTATTAAAAGTAGCGTAACCTTCATTAAATATCAGGCAGACACTTAGCAGGTTCCTTCGAAAACGACTTCTAATTAATAAACAGTTTAATTAAAATTACAGTTTGAGGACTTTGATTTGACATTGATTGTGATTATACTCCCACTTATATTAAGTTGAATATCAAGTAAAATTATAGTATTAGTTATATTTTTGGGAGTTTCTTACTTGGACTGCCTCATTGGTCGAGTGGTCTCAAGTGCGACTGCCGGGCAAGGGGTCTCGGGTTCGATTCCCGGGTCGAGCAAAGTATTACTGGGTTTATAAAAACCTCAGTAGTAGTACGGAGTCTGGAAATGCGCCCGGTATATGGCAATAGGCTCACCCCCTATTACATGGGATTCATCATAACATAAATAGTGAAAAGTGGGTGTTACAATATACAGTGGCATTAAGTGCCGTAAAGTGCACCTCTGCCTACCCCATCGGGGATAAAAGGCGTGATGTTATGTTTGTTTTTCTAACTTGAACCGACTGATGGACATTGTTTTAATTTTTTGTTTCTTATTTGTTTCAGGTATCTTCAGAAATTACAATCTTAAGGTGAAATGTGTATTTCTAAGAAAACAATATTAGTTAGTTTATCAAGTGTTGAATCAGTGAAATAGTGATTGTAACTATGGAGTGTGTAATAGCAGTGCAGAATGGATATTATGTACAACATTAGTTTGGAAAGACAAAAGTTCTACGCGACACACGACTTCAACAAGTTCTCTGATTCTAGAGACGTGGAGGTAAGTTTCATTGTCAATTTATTTATGCTAAATTAATATATAGTTATAGTATACTTACATACTGTGGTTATATAAAGGTCCAACAGTCGCAGTGTTTAGTGCCACTATTGAAACAGGAGGTCTCGGCTTTAATACCACAATCATGAAGTGTTATTTTTGAGGGTTCTCGAAAACAAAAATATTGTTTGCATAAATAAACTAAAATCGCGGGTTACTCACGTGAATATATTGAGAAAAGCTTTACTAGTTCCGAACTACAGAGGGGCTCTTCCTTATAGCTCGAAACTAGTAGAACTATAATATTCTCAGTGCATTCAAGTGAGTAACCCGCGATTCTTAGTTAATTTACTATATCTCACGATAGTTATTATACATTATTCATACATAGTCCGAAATTGTGAATGATATTATAATACTTAAACCTATTCGGGGCATGGGAAGCGTTATATCAATCAGTGTTAAGTAAGTGAGACATGGAAAATGTGCCTGTCTAAGTAAAAGAATTAAAAGATGTGACGTCAATTTAAGTTTCAAATTAATTACGACGTATTCTTGTCACTTAATAATTAAATAAAAGTGGTATAAAAATAGCAGGTATGACGTAAAGAAAGGAGGTTGTCATGACGTATTACGATGAAATGCTCTTTGAATATGCATGTGACACCCATTGTACGACAAATCGATAACATAGGTAGATGGATAGGTCTACTTATATTTTTAGTGTTACTTTAGAAATCGATATGGAGAACAAGGTGTATGTAGAACATTGGAATCTTTGAAAAGTATTCGTCATTTACCTTTTAAACGTTGCTTACCTATAGTAGGGTAGTTTTCTAAATTTTATTTTAATGTCCGTCTGATACATTAATTTAGAACTTTAGACACGTATTTTTCTTTTCTTACAAAATTAAATACTTTCGACGATATATTAATTTGGAATATCGTGTGACGTCACAGCGTGCCACATTTTGTAGCACGTTGTGACGTAAGGACCTCCCGCTCCTAAACTTACCGCCATTTTATTTAAGTATTGCAACATATTACGAAAAAATAAAAATAATACGTGTCTAATATTTTTTCATTATCTAACTAACGGACTAATTTGATTTTTAATTTTGATACCCTGGAACCTACCCAATTTGGATAAACATCGCAGTCCTGGAGCAATAGTTTAGTAGATCAGCATAGACTTTTCGTTTTGGTATCGAACCACTGTTTCAGATTACTTTGCTTGACCTTGGACACCTTGCTGTCTTAAGAATGCGATAGGCAGGATCATTAGTGGACCCCAGTTTCAACGGTAAAGGGCAATAAGTCCTCGACGATGATTTTTTATGGGATAAGCCGGTAAAGTTGCAGACGGATGTAATGGTAAGCAATCGGTGTCGCCCATGGACTCCCGATACACCAGAACTGTTATGTTACAAGTGTGTTTCAAGCCTTTTGGGTTTGTAATTTGAAAACTGTTGGGGATTCAAGGATTGGGAAGACATGACATGGAATAGAAAAATAAGCTTTATCAGACTTCTTTAAGTACATTATAAATGTATAATTGTATAAACTTGTTGGTAAAATAATTCTTAGATATTTAGTTAGGAATTATCTAGAATTAGTATGATTACTTTACACCAAACTTATGACTGAACTTGAAACTTTAGACCTATTCTAAATAAGTACTTTTCGTACAAATATTATTATAATAGTTGAAGAGCAAATGTTTTAGAATTTTCTAGTGTTTCGTAAGCTTTAAAGTTTTACGAGAGTTATCAGAATTTTTTAATGAGCGAACTATTCAGACGCCATTTTCATTAATATTTCCCTGGCAGAATGCCATGTGTTTTCCTCGATTTCGCTGTCAAATTTTAAATTGGATAAAAACGCCGGAAAATTTATAAAAAGCAATCTTCTTAAGATCGTAATTTTTTAATGTTATTATTTACTTTTTTGTAAATATAATTGGTTAAGGGGCAATGTCCTGCATAAGGTAGCAAGTCAATTTCCGTTTTGGCTTAGTTTTAAATTTATTATTTACGTCATCACGTCGAAGACCCCGAAACCAATTCTGATTTATGGACCTGTAATCTGATTATCTCCCAATAGAAGGACCAAAAATGTCTATCTTCATTAAAAATGTATGGGTCGGAGTGTATGTGAGTTGTGTGGTAATTCTAGTGTGTAGTGTAGGGCAACGTTAGAACAAAAGTAGTTATGACAACTTTTTATTTATATATCCTTTTTAGTCTAATTATAAACAATACTTTTGTCATTGGAATTAAGTTGAAACAATATTGTCGGAATACGGAAACGCTACTCAATTTTAAGTTGCGCTTAAGTAGAGTTCTGTATCTACAAATTCTTTGTAAAATGACAGAGACGGCACGATATTTAAGCACGACTTAAAATTGAGTAACGTTTCAGTATTCCTGCATATATGACACTCAAAGCAACATTGGAATTTGCCCTTTTTTTTGATGGGGGAAAATCATGACTGATTTGACACCAATGATTTCTCCCGCCCGGGTGAAGCGAGAGGGAGTGTCAGACTCTTACTGACTAAAAACCACCCCGTTCCTACTCCTGCACTTCGAGCCGGAGCCCCGGCAACCCGTTAAGTTTTCCTCGGCTCCGTATCGGCATCAGCCGTGTTGGGCCCTATCTGTGGTGGTCTGATGGCTCCTTGAGGCGCGCGGAACGCGACGCGCCGTACGCTCGGGCCTGGTTCTGGTCGGGCGGCGAGTCACCCGTGCTCGCCGTACATTTTTCTGAATCTTTAAGCAAAATTATGTATGTGTATTTTACAGAATTCATTTTCCTCAAATTCCTTGTAACGTTCACTAGATAGAAGAGTTTACTCACATAATTATTTTTATGTAGCTATTGGTTTTGCTTCTTCGATTACCTTAGGGATCAGAGATAATATTACAATTAAATAAAAAGGTAAGATAGGAGGGAATAAATGGTCTGTATTCCTAGTATATAGTTATGTATACACAGGCTGTAAATGGTCTGTATCTTTTTTATATTTATAAAATTTTTATTTATAAGCAGTAAAATTAAGTAACATTTTAGTATTAGGGCATTAATGTATTTCTAACTTGCCTAACTTCGAAATTGTCACCCAACTATTGAATTAGATACACCCTCTACATTAGTAGGCTGTCGTTTCTTAATAGGCATTGAAACACAAAACCTTGTTTGAGGACCTTGAAGCAAGTCAAAGCAAAATTAATGTAAAAACAAGACTTAGTTTGTTAGACCTCTTTCAGTTGTCTTTTCGTGATTAGATTATGTAAATTGGTTGGTTGTTTGTGTTGTAAAGATTTGAAAGAATAATAATAAATAACAAGGTAGGAGCTTTGATGACTGCACGGCTGGTGCGGTGGCTGGGCAATCGGCTACCGTGCAACGTGTCGCGGGTTCGATTCCCGCACGGAACAACACTTTGTGTGATCGACAAATTGTTGTTTCGGGTCTGAGTGTCATTGCGTATGTAGGTAATGCTGGCGTCCGAGCTGGTTTAGCTGTCGGATTGGTTGCGCTACCAAGTAGACACCAGGTGAAAAACTCTCTATAGAGCTATATATATTTTGTTGGTATATAGGCCCTTTGAAATATAGGCCTAAGAAATGTTATGGATGTTACGTAATCATTTTATAAAAAAAAAATTGTCCAGAAAGTCTAAAATGATAATGATACCTTCAGTACAGAATACAAAATATATCTTGAACCAATTTCTATTGTAGATATTAGTATGTAAAGCTTTGTGGACTAAACAGATTTAGTCTAAGACTAGAAGATTATCTTAGAGAACAAAGTAAAGATAAAGTAATTCACTAAATTAACAAATATATTCTAATAGCCAAAGTTAGTTAATGATTACTTACTTGTAATAACAAAAGGAATTCGAAATTATTTTAGTTTTGCATTACGTAATAAATAACGGGAGAGATGCCCACTTTCTACAACCTCTCTTAAATTTAAAGGAACACCTAAGGTAAGATGTGCGCTTCTCACGTAGCTTTCTGCCTCGCACAGCAAAGCTGTGGCGTGTGTCGTGGGCGGGTTTTCCGAACCGATACGACCTTCAAACCTTCAAGAAAAGAGCGTATTCCTTTTTAAAAGGCCGGCAACGCACCTGTGACTCTTCTCCTGTTGCGGATGTCCATGGGCGACGCTGATCGCTTATCATCAGATGATCCGTCTGCTCGTTTGCATCCAATTCCATGAAAAAAAATGAGATTTAACAACATTTTGATTTTCACCTATAAAGTGTTATAAACTAACTGCATAGTATAGTTGTCATTATGTCATACTAAGAACTTTTGGTTAAGAGGCTGTTTAGGTGTGTTTAGTGTAAACTGTCATTAGTTTTATAAGTTGGCAATTTAGGTCGAAATGCATAAGGCCATAAGTAAATCCATCTAAATGAAACTTACAAACAAATTTGATACAAAGAAATATACTTTACCGATACATACATATACCCATTCTTTAGGGAAAACCACAGATGATATACTACAAAAATCACTCAGTACTTGTCAAACTTCATATCGATCACATGCACTATTTAAATGATCTGCAGAAGAATTTAGACATCTGTGCCATTTATCTTACTCAGTATTTGTATATTTTAAAACAGTAGCAAATATCGTTTCGTCTACCTGCCTTGGTCTGGTCAAGACAGGTTTCACAGGTTGATGTTAAAAGCCCCTACTGAATATAAATCGGTTCTTTAAACTGAAATGCTAACACGTTTGCTGTGTCCAAATGTCCAAGTATTTCTTTTTAAACTAGTTTTCTTTATTTGTTTTTAAGATTGGAGACACCTTTACTATGAGTAGGTAAGGCAGTTTTTTAAGGAAACTCATACTATTTAGACTGCACGGTTGGCGCGGTGGCTGGGCAACTGGCTACCGCGCAACGTGTCGCGGGTTCGATTCCCGCACGGAACAACTCTTTGTGTGATCCACAGATTGTTGTTCCGGGTCTGGGTGTCATGTGTATGTGAACTTGTATGTTTGTAAACGCACTCACGACACAGGAGAAAATCCTACAGAGGGGAAACGTTTAAAAAATAAAATCGAACATTTTATAGGCTGATTTATAGATGAATGGTCAAATGGTACCAAGTGCAACTGTCGAAGATTACAGTTTCATATCTCTGGGAAACTTGGTCAGATTTTGAAATTCCCAGCAGTTAGAAATCTAGTGATGTGTAAAAATAGTTTGATACCCGACTTCAGCAAAGTATTACCATTCAGTCCGACTTTGAGATTTCCAATAGTCTGAAATACTAACTGGATTGTGCAAATACATAGAAGTCTACTTTTACGCCAGTAGCTTCTCCCACATGGAATTTAGAAGTTTTCTCTTGAGTAAATCCCCATTCAATAGCAGTGGCGAATAAAAAGTAGCTGTAAGAAAGTAGTGCAACTTCCTGATTAGTTGCAGTTAGTTCGCGTTAGTTAGGTAAAAAAGTTACCAGGTGTTATCTTGCGTTTAATTGATCCAGTGGTTTCTTAGCCAATTGAAATGAACAAACAATCATATTCCTCTATATAAATCAGTATAGATAAAACAAATTTTTTGTAGGCTGCGCGACATCACTGCGACCGCGCACGCTCGTGGAAGAGCCCCTCTGTGGCTCGAAACTAGTAGAGTTTTTCTCAGTATATTCACGTGAGTAACCCGTGATTTTCAGTTAAAACAAAATTGGTATATTTTCGCTACATATTGGCTCAAAAATAACAGACGCTTTGTTATGTCATTGTTTCATCCATAACCTTTTCATCTGGCTCCAATACAGTTTGAATTTAAAATGAAGATCGATGCAAATATTGACTGATCTGATTTTCTAGACTTCAATTTGGATTCGTTTCCAATTTATAATTTCGAAGAATATTCGTCTGAAGATGTTTTCATTTCTTTTTATGCTTTGGTTTTTAAGTGCGGATTTTTATAAGGACCTGAGATTTTTAATATATTAGAATACATTATATGATTATCTTTTCTTGGAATTGTATTACAATTATGATCAATACTATATATGGGAAAGCGGTTTTGCTACGTCAGCGATAATAAAATACAGACTAAGATTATAGGATTTTCAATTCCGAAATGGTCAGTATTATACTTAAACTTATAGCTCTAAAATTTTCAAGTTGTAAAATTTCAAAATAATTACCCCAAGTCACCGAAAAATTTAAGTTTGGTAGGTGTTTTTATTTATGACCTTTTTCTTGTTGCGAATAAAGAAATTCAAAGTACCGAGGTAAGCATAGATAGGTTGTTTAAATTTCAATAACAAACGTATTATGGCAGCGGGATCTCACTTAATCAAGTTTTAAATCTGACATTTCTTATCAAATATATTGAATAAATACCTTTTTCATTCCCATTTAAAAGCAGAAATATTCTTCAGTATTCAACCACACAATCACTCAAATGCAGTCATCAATTCCGATATCATTGGATATTTTCCCGTCAATGCATTATTTGGCTCAGCCCGTAGCATTTACTGCCCGATAAACACTAACAGAGCTGCGTATTACATATGCCTGAGTATTTAAGTAGATAGCACATTTTCATTTAAATGTTTTGCAGTAAAATGTTATTGGGAATAGTAGGTCTAGGAGTATTACCTTTGTGTAACCAATCTACATAATTATATATCTCAAATTGAACGATTTCCTGACTTTTAAGTGTAGGAGAGCCATGCTTTACCACGATACCAGGGCCTTATAGAAAACAGACGTGAAACAACGCTTGCATTGTGTTTCGTCGTGTGAGTGAGGTTACTGGAGGCCCAATTACCCCTTTCCCCAGTCTCCCTGACAATCCTCAAACTCCCAATTCCCAAAAGGCCGGTAACGCACTTGTAACGCCTCTGGTGTTTCGGGTGTCCATGGGCGACGCCGATTGCTTACCATCAGGTGATCCGTATGCTTGTTTACTGGCTTAAGTCATAAAATAAAAACAATATAGACACTTTATTTGTACCGATATTCTGACTCTCTCATAATCTCTCAAAGCTAACTCAATTAAGCTAATTCCAAATGAAGAATTTGTGACAGACAAACTTAATTGATGTAATGTTTATTCCGTATTCAATTGTATACTATGATCAAAGTCAATTATCTAAGATGATGGCTATACAGAGTGATATAATACCTACCTAACTGTGCAACACTTTTTCCTACCTTCCTTACTAGACTAACTCACGAACATTTTTGAATACTCTGTGGTTCTTGTTTTTTTAGTCACCCTGGATATTAATCCTGCTTGGATCAACAAGGCGGTCGGAAGTTATGGTAACCTAATTTTTGTTAACGTAATAATATAATAAATAAGTACCTAAACAAAAAAAAAACTCATAAGGAAGTAAACGCAATTTATAAGATAATTTGACCGAATAAATATTTATTTTCTCTGAGAAATTAAGTAATTTGATGTGTCCTCTTCAAATATAAACCGGGTAAACCGTTTTAATACAGATTACACACATAAAATCGGCATTAATTATTATCATTATTACAAGTAGAATTCAAGGTGTAGTATAATTATGTACACTTGGTACACACATATTTGATGATATACTTACCTACTACATGAGATCTAGACCATATGAATGACGAATACTAATTTAATGTTATGTTATCGGCTTACTCACGTAATAATTTGACGAGGAACTCGACTAGTTTCAAGCCATGCTAGAGGCTCATATTCATGAGCAGCATTTCGCTAAATCACGTGAGTAAACCGAAAACATAACAATTCATTTAGTATGTCTCACGAAAGTTATAACACCACTAATTTAATGATTAAAATTATTCACTAATTATATTCATAGGGATACTCTGCCACATTTAAGCTGTCATGGTATGAACTAGGTCTGTAATTAAGCTTGTATATAAGTCACTGGAAAATAATAAGTTTCCTAAAAATTTCCTAAGAAATCTCTCGTTTAGAATGTAATTTTCCTATTTTACACAGCTTTATTAGTTTCTGGTGACAAATATAATGTACAAAATTATAAAAACGTGTTTGCACAATACACAATACATACTTTCGGAAATAGTATACTCTCCAATTTCAAAAACCAATTTCACACAAATATCAGCAGTCCGGAAATAACACACAACACAGCCCAATACAATACAATACAACAGAGATCCTTTGGTGTACCGTGTCAAAAGTTATAAAATGTCATTACGAATCTACATTCAGTGTCGTGTCGGAGTTTCAAATTGTGTGGTCGGTGTCCGTATTCATTTCTTTTCATATATTGTATTTTGGAATCCATGTCATAGCCAATATGTACACGGTTGCTTATCAAACTATACGAAACCAGTGTAAACTGATCGTTGAATATGTAGAACAATCATACATAGCAAGAACTTGAGAAACTGGATTTTTATAGTTCGATGTGTAGTCGCTGTATCTGAATATTATAGAGTTTGTGTGTCAAATTGGTTCATCGAGGCATAGTGTAACTTTTGTTGAAATCGGATTATATTTTATTTTAAGACTAAGCTTTGTTTGTAGATTAGACTCTTCATGTAATATCTTTTGAAATAGGTCAATACAAAAAGAATACATGAATGTAAAGTATTTTCATGGTATAAAAGAACCAATTAAAACATTTAAGACTATAAAAGTCTTAACTAAAACTTGTTAAGCTGCAAATTTTAAAGTGTTATTAGGTTTTCATTTAAAAAGCAATTTAAAGAAACTCAAAAACAGATGCAAATGCAACAGATTTTGAATGACTATAATTTTATTCCATTTTAACTGGTCATAGTTTCTTGGAAAATGTCAACTTGAGGTCTTCAATTATTTTAGAACTTTAAAGTAAAGTTTTTGCGCTCAAGTGCATCCGAAGTGTTAATTAATTTGAGGGAGAAAATTTTGCTGAAATATCTACTGAAGTTTATTGCTCTTTAGATTTGTGGCACTTTTGATGTCTGGAAACTTATTGCTAATTGGTTGTGGTTTAATTTTGTTGTGAATGTATTAAATGCCTCGTTGTTAGGTGTGTAGTTACAATCATGATTTACGTGTCAATGTAAATGCAATCTTGTATGCTTCTTTGGTCTTGCAAAATTTCATTGGACTTTTTGTTTCTTCAGATATAGACATCTTGAAATGTACATACATAATACTGTTCTTATGTAATGTTTCTGAAACGTACACGAAAAACACAGAAATAATTTCGAACCAAAATTTTACTCATCATATTCTAAAATGCTATAATGAAATACTAATATCATATTTTTTCTACAGGTTGTGTATACATGGAACATGGACTTCAACCGCAGCATACTAGGCGCTGCCACCATCCTGGTCCCGAAGACCACGGCCACTCCATCTTCCACCACCATGCCGACTTGGGCACATAACTCCTGGGTGTGTCTCTTCACCGCCATGCTGGCAGTGGCTATTGGAGGCAACGTTATTGTTATATGGATTGTGACAGGTAGGATATTATATTTTTTGATATTATGATGTGTATTATGTCTGTTTACAATCGATTGTTAGAGAATTATTTTGTCCTGGCCTCATTTCAAGGCCACTGCAGAGATCAATGCAGTTGAGGCTAACCAAATTAAATCAAATCATTTGTTTTGGCAAAAACATGTGTATACATACATACACATACACGCTAGAGCATGTATGTAGGATGATAAAAATAATAACAAAATAGTTGCACAATTATTATACCTACTATGCTGCATTAAAGAGTGTACAAGTTAAAAAAAATACTTATAAATCTAAAACTTGTGTGACTAACCGTTGTAATTTATAAACGTAGTTAGATTACAAATAGAAAATATTTTACTGTCGGATAACACACGTAAGCTTCTATTCCGTATAAAATAAAATTAATAGAAATCTTTGTTGCTATTACAAAATATGTTATTAAAACTGTCAGTTACACTTGCAGGTAATTAATTATACAGGTAAATGTGCTAGATGTTAATTAACAAGACCTTAGCATAGTTTAATAATAGTAGTTGTAATATGGTTTAAAATTCAGTGTAGATTGCTTACGAGCAGACGTGCTCCATCGTAGGCCGCATCATCACTTACTACTAGGCGAGATCAGAGACAGCGGCCAAACGTCGGACCATCAAATAAAAAAAAATAATTAATCACCATCCGATTTGGGCAGTAAGCCTAATTATGATCTATGTTTAGATCTTTTCCATGAGAAAAGTAGTCCTTACTAACAAGTGTGGAAAAGCTACGCATCGGCACGAATGGACCGACTCGATCAGAGTGATACCATGGGCTCACAGAAAACCAACGTGAAACAACGCTTGCGTTGTGTTTCGTCGCGTCATTGAGGTTACCGGAGGCCCAATTATAGGAATAATATAGAGAAGGGGAGGGCCCCCTTCCCCAATCTCAGTTAGATTCCTAATCCTGAAAAGGCCGGTAAAGCACTTATAACGCCTCTGGTGTTCCGGGTGTAGGTCATAGGTGAAGCAGATTGCTTACGATCAGGTAATCCGTCTGGTAGTATCAGCTTATCTCATAAAAAAAACCTGGGAAAATATAATGATTTTCATTCCACTGGAGGAACGAATTTGCAACATGCAGTATACAGCACCGTCCACGGAATAAAAACTATATATTTACCTACAAAATTGTTCTGTTGCCAAAAGAAAATTTAATTTGAATACAAAAAAAAACAAAAGTGATTGAAAACGAAAAAGTTCTTTTCAAATTCTTCACAACAAAAGTAAAAAGTGGTTTGAACTTGATTATTTTCTCGAATATCAAAAATGGCATTCCCTTTTCTTTGAATGATTAATTAAATGTCAGATGCACGCTCAGAACTTAAACCAGTGACATGATTTCTCACTTGAATTATTCTTCATTTGCATGGAGTGTTCGGGCAAATCTTGTTCTTATTTTGCGAAAATAGTAATCACTTTAAAAGAGATTATGTCGAGTCTAAGAAATCTGGCAAAAACTATTATAAGGACCATTTTTGAATACGAAATGCCACACTACTAAAAAATAATGTCGTTAAAAACTTTAACTCAGTAAAGTGATTTTGCTTTAGCAATTCCGTTTTTATTAGTGTACCTTTTAAAGTAAAAGTTGGTCTCGGCAATTGCGAAAACGTGGCTCTATTAAACATTACATAAACCACGAAAAGCAGAGCGAAATCTGAATTTATTTACAGAAATTTCTCTTCATAAAGTTGAGAATGCGAACGATAGGACGGATTTAGTTGAGTCAAGGTCACCAGTTGAAGCGTATGTATGTATGTAATGATCATATTGCGGATAAAGGGATAACAAAAAAATTATGAATAGATATTAAGGGTCAACTGGAAGTTATTGTGATGAATATTGATGGTGATCTCATGTTTTATTTGCTTCCGACATGATCTTATATTATTAGACTGTCCTTCTTGGTACGAAATTTCATCAAAGACGTCTAGTTATTTCACCATAGGTATAAATATCGTTAACAGACAAAATCACACAGAATATGCAAATCTGAAGAGAGAGAAAAATATGGTGAAATGGTTCGTAGAATATGCATAAATAAGTGTAGACAACAATGCATGCGACTGGGCTCATTAAGTTCAAAATTGATTGATCGTTTTGCGTTATAGCTGTTGATTTCAGAAAGTAATACAGGTGAACATAAGGTACCGAAGGCCAAGGCTATAAACGTAAAAAGTACACTATTGGAATTGCTAGAGTTTAGGCTTGATTTTCAGTCTAGACAAACAATAATTTACAGCCATCATAATAATATAGCAAAATAATATCAAACTTCTTTCGATATAAAAAAATCTGACCTATTTTTTACGACTCAATGAAAACCCACAACTAGGCAGGGTAATTTCAAAGACGGCACGCGAGTTAACCGTAAAGTAGAAAAGGTATAAATACATATTTGTCCAAAATGTGTATTTTACTATAATTTTCCAAGTAAAATATTGTTGTGCGTGATGATAGTCTTCTTTTGATTTTGGTTTAATAATAAATTTGGATTTATTCGTTTTCCGAAATAACAGACGTCATTAGTGTAACTACATGCAACCACGCAATGCCTTCTCGATTAGAATTTGGTCTTTGTTGCGGCATATCGGCGAAGCGTCACCGATTCACGGTGGATGTTGCACCCACACGCATAAAGCGGTTCGCATTAAGATTCCTAGTTACTCCTTACTGTTAAGCTAAGGAGTGGAATTCTTTGCCAGAATCTGTTTTCCTGGGTGTTTTCAAAGCCCGAGTGAATGAATTGCTTATGGGCAGACGTGCTCCATCGTAGCCCGCATCATCGCTTACCACCAGGCGAGAAAGTGGTCAAACGTCGGCCCATCAAATAAAAAAAAATACACATACATATATTGATTTCATTATCTCTTAAATTTTTGTAAAATATTGTATAACACGTTCTGTTCAGATTTTTCCCTTCTTCGTCTTTTTTAAACTGATAATGACTGACTGGTTCTTCATAGTATATTTTTCGTCGTTCTCAGTGTTCATTTTTATTTAAAGTTTTTTTAATTAAATACTCACTAATAATGGCATCACTTAAAAGATTTATTATTATGTAAATATGAATAATTAATTCAGTTTCCCGAAATAGCAGACATCGTTAGTTTAACAACAAGCGGAGGGTTTTTGACGGAAATATGGTCCTTGTGGTAACAAATTATTTTATTTTCTTCCCTCACAGAAGTGGCGAGGCAACATTTTTTTAGACCATTAGACTTTTTCTTCTTTTTCGAATAAAAAAGTGTGTAGACACACGGTATGAAAATCAATAAGTAAACGAAATCAAGTAATATGATGAATAGAATACCAAATAAGGACTGAGCTACAAAACGTACTAGCAAAATATGTGCGGTGAAAATAGCACAAAATATCTATACCTGGAGTTCCCCAAGGACCTATTTTAGGTCCATTTTTGTTTGTAGTGTAATATAACCTATATTGGATGAAATATCCTCTTTTGTTTTCAATACGTAAACAAGGCCTATCAGATATGCCATAGGTTACGGATTTTCTTCCATTACGTAGGATTTTTATAAGCTTGTAAGGCTTTCAGCTAAGTAGCTCTATTTGCGACACGAGAATTGAAAAGAGGGGAAAAGATCATCCATCAATACCTGTAGATGGTGTTTGTCACGTAAATAACATAATACGTATAGAAAAGTGGGAAAGGTTGGGAGAGGCAATTGCTAAAAGATACACAGATTTACGAAAAGTAACTAAAATATCCGGATTTTAGAATCAGAACCCATTGTAAGAGATGAGAATGCTATTATTATTATTAGCCGTAATAATGCAAGGTATATCGATAACACTGTTACTAATTATGTCTGTAACTGCCATTAGAAAACTCTGAAGGCAAATCCTTCGCTATCGTCGATCAACGGTGATCCCCATGGCGTTTATTTAACGTGTTGATAATGAGTGAATTAAATAATCTAACTTTAATTATTAATAACATATAATTCGGATTGTTATATTAGGCTGCAAGGCAATCCTGAAATATGTCATTATGACATGTTTGGAGGATAAATTTAATTAGACCTCATTTTGAACTAATTAATTAGTTTTTCAAAATTATGATTTGGCAATTATATGTGAATGAACATTCTTCTCTCTAATTTAGATACGACTTAGAAGTCAAGTCAAAAATACTATTACTTGTTAATTTATTAGTTCGCTAAAAATTTCTAAATTAATTTCATACTTAATATCTCTTTTTCTTTTCTGAGTGAAATCTTTTGCTAGCTTTTGTCGTAACTATAGACGTTTAGGTGGCGACAAAACGAAGAATTATCTGGTTCGTGCTTTTAGTGAGATTTTTCTAATATAATAGTTTTCTTATATAAGTCACAAGCCTTTCTTTGTACAAATAACTGACATGATGTGTGTAAAAGGATTTTGCCTTTTTTTTTCGTTAAAAGATGTATCAAAGAGTTGTTAGGATTTTGAGTTAATAATTGATTTAGAGTAAGTTTGTTTTGAAAACACTCACAATTTTAAAATAAAATAAACATGGTTGTAATGGCTTTTATGTAATGCTTTGCGTTTAATTCAAGAAAACAGTACTTCTAAAGTTGGTTTTAGATCTTATTCTTGATCGATTTACATAATATAGATATGTATATATTCGATACCATATTAAATTTTTCAGTAAAGTTCAGAGGACAATAAAAACTAAATATTTTTTTGTCACCAGCTCATCGTCGGATGCGGACGGTCACCAACTACTTCCTCGTGAATCTCTCCTTTGCTGATCTGATGATGGCATCTCTGAACTGTCTCTTCAACTTCATCTACATGTTACACAGGTAAGTTCTTAGTGTAATATTTTCTACAGTTATTTTTTGTACTTAGATTGAAATTAAGCGTTGGTTTCCATTATTGTTTGACAAAGAGCAGTGAATCCAGTTCAGTCAGCAAGAGGTAATAATCTAATCTACTTAGTTACCATACCCATTAATCTAAGTAAATTTCTCTTTATTATTCCTGTCTACGGTTTTTTACTAAGGCTACCTACGTTTATTGATTAACGTTATGGACAACTTGGGAGACCACACATGAATATGGGCTGCATTAGTAAACGATTATAACACTTCACTGTTACCAGCCAAAGGCTATATTTGAAGTCGCGCTTAAGTATAGTTCTGTCACTGTATATTCTTATTAAAATGACAGAGATGGCACGATATTTAAGTACTATTTAATATTGAGTAGCCTTGCAGTATTCAGGCGTTCGGTAATTGAATCAAATGACCAGGATTGGATACGGAGATTGGTAATCCAATTCCACAAGCAACAGATGGCAATAAGATAATTAATCGCATGCACATGCTTGATTGTCAACTACAATTGACTGGCTTGTTCTATTAAGTCCTGTGTAATGTACTGATACATTCTCAATGCATTATAGCCTTTACGGTAATGTGAATTGTATTGTTCTGTGTCTCAATTGATTATGGTTCTCCAAGTAATTAGTTGTCAGGGATTGGTCTAGTTGTAGTTGTATGTTTAACAGGGTTGTTTTTATAGGGTTCAAATTAGATTGTTCTCTTTTGTATGCAGACCATTTAGAAGATTTTATATTGTTAATCTCAGATGAATTTAAGTTGTTATTTTGTTAATTTAAAGTTCTTGTCCTTCTTGTACTCTTGTACTTGTACTCTTCTTGTACTTTTGTACACTTATCTTTCTTGTACAACCTTTTTATGCATGTGGTGTTTACCTTTAAGTGATTGTACTACTAAAATATGTATCTATTGCATGTAACCTAATATTTGATCTAGTATGTACAATTGTTGGTGAAGCAATAAATAAAAATAAAATAAAAATTGTAAAAACACTTGATATTATTATAATGCATAGATTCATCAACGTTACAAAATATATTCCTTAGTAACTACAATTTAAATATTAATCTAAGCTATTTTTATTCAACAATAGAATCAGTATTAAAACGACAAAGTACTAATTATCACCTGCCATGTATAGCACACAATACGTATGGTAATTACGACACAATACACATAATTATGAATAGTAACAAAATAATTAATATGTAGTACTACATACCCAGATAAATGTCTATTTTAGTTTATTGGAAATGTAATTAGAGGTACTTAGGTACAATGTACCCAAAAATATCAAACCAGGTTAATAGTACTTTGGGAAATCCCACACAGAGTACGTACTCATTCTGAGTTTAGTTTGCAGAATAAAAGTTAAATATGAGAGAACTTTACATTTTATTCTCAAATTGAAGTGTGTATTTGCTTTCTCTCATCCATTTACTAAAATGATATGTAGGTACATCTTTTTAGAATTAGGACAATTTTGTAAATATATCTTTGACTTTTATTTTATTATATTATTTAATACGTACAACCTTTTTTATCGACTTCAAAAAGAAAAAAGGTTGTTGTCAGTTTGACCCCATCAACAGCCTATAAATGCCTACTGCTGAGCAAACCCTTCACACGGAGAAGGTTTGAGCATTAATCACCACGCTTGTTCAATGCGGGTTGGCGATTCCAACTTGGAATTAAAAATTATATGCCCAGGTTTTCTCACGATGTTTTCCGTCACCGTTTGTCAATGTGTCTTAATAATCTTAGAAAGTACATATAACTCGGAAAAAGTCACATTGGTATTTGGCGTTGGTAGGTTTCGAACACGCATTCTCATATGAGAAGCAGGCGTCTACTACCTCTGTACCCTACCCTACCCTACCCTACTAGTCGCGGAGAACCTAACGGGTAACCGGGGCTCCGGCTCGATATGCAGGAGAAGGAACGGGGTGGTTTTTAGTCCGTAAGAGTCTGACACTCCCTCCCGCCTCGACCAGGTGGGAGCAGTCATTCGATCATTTTCCCCCCTTAAAAAAAACCCTACCCTACTGTACCACGATAGTTTGATCTGTATATGTATGTATTGACGTTTGAGTACGGTTATCTTGCAATTAGCTGAACCGATTTTCAGAAGTGTTTGTTACACTAAGGAGAAGGTTTTAATATCTTAATTAACCAACTTAAAAAAAAACAACGAGGTTGAAGTCGATTTTTTTAAACGTAGTTTATAAGAGAATTATTCATTGTCTCGTCAAACAAATCTTGCCATTACTGTATTTATATATATATATATATATATACCTATAATGATATTAATTAATATTGTGAATCGACGCTTGAATTTAACTCGTCGAGTACCGGTTTTATAGACACAATTAAAGAACAATAGGTCGCGGTCACCGGTGACCGCTTGGTGTTTGACAGTTTAATAAAGAATTAAGTAACAAAGAGTCTTAAACTGTCAAACACCAAGCGGTCACCGGTGACCGCGTTCTTTAATTGTGTCTATAAAACCGGTACTCGACGAGTTAAATAGTGCCCTAAATGGGTTTTTTTAATTCCGGAATGAAATGTATTCAATTGGGTACTTGCCAACAAGTCAAATTCAATACTTTTTTCGAACTGTTAAAAACGACAGTTTTCTATGAATTTTGTACGAGATTGTGTATAGTGACGTCATGTTTTTAGAGTCCAAAAATTGCTGGTAAAATATAAAAATTAAGTTGGTCATAAAAACAATTACTGCACGGTTGGCGCGGTGGCTGCCGCGCAACGTGTCTCGGGTTTGATTCCCGCACAGAATAACTCTTTGTGTGATCTGCTGATTGTTGAACTTGTATGTTTGTAAATGCACACACGACACAGGAGAAAATCCTAGTGTGGGGCAACGCTTTTTTTAAATTAATGAATGTGTGATTATTTTTTTTATATATAATTGTATTGAACAGTCGAAATATTTTTTGATGAAGGCAAGTACCCAATGGCTTCAGTTTTCATCTACGTACAATATAGTTACATATATAAATACATAGCACTCCTGATAAAGAAGTCGATTTTAAAAATATTCAAACGACTGAATTTTAATATAGTCACGTTTTTAACTTAGTAAAATAACTTTGGGATTGATTAAATTCTATTCTGAGTACTCTATTTTCTTTAGGTACGTATTGGAAAAACCTTTTAACAGTCTAAGCTTTTTTCTATTACTAAATCTTTTCAATTTTTATCGCATTATGTTTTGTCGAAATGAAGAGAAAAATTAGTTTTCGTACTTTAGAAATATAAGGTCTTAGGAATTTTCCGCAGTTCAAAATCTGGTTCTAGCAAGTTTGGTCTTTAAATTTTGTTTTAATTTCGAAGACATTTAAAGGTGCTTTAACATTATAAAATAATATTTCATTAGACATACTGGACTGGAGGTTAATGACCTATTACACAATGTCCGATTATGTAAGTATGCGTATGTTTAACTGGCGGATAAATAAAAAATATAAATATGTAGGTATATATCCTATCGATGTTACGTACCTACATGCATGGATACATACGACAAAATATATTACTTTGTCGAATGTAGCTAATTCAAATGTAAAAATTGGTTTTCTCGATCAGTAATAATGTAATTTAACATACACACATACATAACTTCACGCCTGTCTCCCATGAGGGTAGGCAGAGACTAGGGAACGCCCATTACTACGATTCCTACATCCCTATTTCGCTTCATCAACAGTCATCAATCTTTTCATGCATGCTCGTCGGTTAAGGGTACTTAACCTATGTAATTTAACGTCCATAGTAATGTGTACTTATATTGGTGTCGCCATTTATCCAGATTTTTTATTGTATTCAAATATTATAATTTTAATGATTATGATTTTTAATACTAAATTTTTTCCAAGTATGCTTTGAAACTTTTTTATCCAAACAGATTTTGAAAGATTAACATCTTTAGAACATGAAAATAAATAGAAGCAAAGTTCCCAATTTTCTAGGTATTTAATTAAAACCTGCTGTACCTAAGGTTAAGTAAAAACTTCGTGTTTAATTCTTAGATATCCAACTTTGTACAAGTAACAAGATAGTTATGTATAAAATTACCTTTTCCAAACTTCGAAGTATCCTAACTGAGCTTGTCTTGTTTGTTCTAGATAATTCAGGTCTTACTCACCAGGTCTTTACGTCATGTGACCTTTTTGAAAACATGCCTATGTGAGGTTCTATCATTAACATGTCTGAACATGAATTGAAACTGTTCTAAACAAATCAATAGCGTTGTATCATCATCATATCAACAGCCTATAAATGCCCACTGCTGAACAAAGTCTCTTCTCACACGAAGAACGTTTGCGCATTAATCACCATGTTCTTGCTCAATGCGGATTGGCGATTGCTTATAATTAGAAATTATAAGCCCAGGTTTCCTCACGATATTTTCCTTCACCGTTCCCTCACCTCAAATTTCCACTTTATGTTTATGCAATGAGGATATAATGTTTATTTTATAAATCATAAAAACAATATTATTTTAGGGGGGAAAATCATCGCATGTCTTCTGTCGCTGGGGTGAGGCGGGAGGGAGTGTCAGACTCTTACTGACTAAAAACCACCCCGTTCCTACTCCTGCCCTTCGAGCCGGAGCCCGGGCAACTTGTTAAGTCCCCTGCGGCTCCGTATCGGCATCAGCCCTATTGGGCCCCATCCGTGTTGTTCTGATGGCTCGTTGAGGCGCGCGCGGTACGCGACGCGCCGTACGCTCGGAATAAAAACAATGTTAGGGACACAAAACTGGGTTGCTAGATAGTTATATTATTGAGTCTTCAAACTACATCATCTGCATGTAAATAAGGGACAAGTTAGACATGAATAGTATTAAAACAGAAGGTCCACAGACACGAAATCTCCATAATTATTAAAGGGACTAATTCCCTAGGACCTTTTTAGTATAATCCAGGATTAATAAT